GAAACAGTCTAAGCTGCATTCCATCTGGAAGATGTAGCCTTTAGGCAGACAAGACCCCGTAAAATTAGGTAAAATCATGAGGTTTACTTAGTTCACTGTAAGAAAATTCAATTAACAGTCCTTAAATCACCCTAATCGATCATCTGTGATAGTCTCGAAAACTACCTACATCAAGAAGGAAACCTAGTTTGAGGCACAATGGAATAGGAAAAATGAGTCACAAACGTTTTAGAAAGTTGTCATTATGAATATAAAAAGCAAAATCAGATCGACTCCAAAACCACTTAATAGAAGCAATAGAGATCAGAGGCCCAGATTCTTAGTTAGCTCTTAGAACATAGGTTGAGTAATCGTAAAGTCAATGTCTGATTATGAGAGTTATCTACATCGTACAAATGCCGGACTGAGCTAAGGGTATTACAGGATGAAAGTGATCAAGAACAAGAGAAGGACTTCAGCAAGATTTACAATCAGGGGTTGGGATTCAGGCTGTGAGGCTAGAGTACTTGTGCTACCAAATCGATACGATGATAAGGACCAATAGTAAATATACAGTCAAGGTCACGAGAAATTCTGATCAAAGCTGAGCAAAGTGGTTTACAGAGTGAAAGAACAAAGTAGTATCAACCATTCCGGCATGAGAAGGATAAATAAAAAGATAATTCGATTATGCCTTACTAAACCCCCTCAAAAGAACGCCAAAAAGGGAGAGTGAAATATGGGAATGCAGCTCTGCTTGATAGGTAAATTTATTAAGAAGAAGAGGTATCACAACTGATTAACCTAGAAATTTATCAAGAGATGGACTTCAGTGTCATGATACTCCGAATGTACTACCCTTGTGCCATAAAATCTACTATGCCCAATCCACCTATATAAGAGCAAAATGATTATTTTTAGAATGAATTTGCCATTGCATCAGTTTTATGATTTAGGGAAAACTATTTATAATAATGGCTAATGAATATTCCATTGCATTGCACACTCTTCTATAGGCCTAGCTATAAATTCTTTATATCCTGTAAAATGTTGGTTCTTATAAAACGCCAGGTGGCGTTTATTATTGGCTGTATTTATATAATTCTGATTCAAATCTCCGCAAAATGCGGTAAGATAACCTATAATGACCGTGTCAGAAGTCCTCCAATATAGATGCGATCACATTAAGTCAAAATCTCAACTTGGTCTAAAAACTAATAACTGAAAATAGTATAAGTTTCTCCTAATACCTTGTCCCATTTCCCCAGTAGTTCGCCCATCTCTCATCTATTTCTCAATATTGCGCAACAGTTGTAAATAAATTCTAATGGATAGTTGCTTTGACCTAAGATTTTTCTTAGCCTTCCTCAATGTTGCAACTCAAGTGTTCGGGGGATAAAAATACAGAATGTTATTTTTCAGAAGACGATTTAAAAGCAACCTAAGAAACAGTAAAATTATATATTCCACTTGTATGTGTCACAAGAAGGCGTACTTCTGAGATAATCTCGAAAATATATGTAAGCTGTTTAAGGCTATAAGTAATGAAACACTTCACCCTTCGAAAATAATTACATCTATACTTAAGATAGACGTCCCTAGTTTGCATTTGGAGAACTATGAAGAAAAATATTTTCGCAAATAGATGAAGAACAGGGATTAATGAAGTATTGTGAAATTGGCAAAATAATATCAAATTATTAACAAATGTGGCGACAACTAGTTAAATGGGACTAAGATGAGAAAATGAGGCAATAAAAGATAAGAAACTTTTTACTGCATTAAACAGAAGCGCCTTCAAAGGTATCCCCAAGTAAAATAAGAATTTAAAAAAGAGAGGACTGATATTGGAATAATAGAATACTAGTCATTATGCATGAACTATATGTATGTAAGTACTAAGAGTATCAGTACCAGTATTAAAAGTAATCCATAAAAGTAATGGGCCAAACAAATCTATACAATTGGGTTTTATGGTGAAGCAATTTAATGCTGACCGAATAGTTAAAATCATAAAGATTAGAAAAAAGGAGAATGTTCGAGTGCCTTATATTTAGTTTGAAAAGGCGATTCAAAAGGATTTGTAAATTGGTCTCACCGGAAATCGAAGGGGTGTAACCTTTGAGCTGTGATTGTGGATTTATGTGAATAAGTCCTCGGCTCACCATCCCACGATCCCGATTGATCTTTGATGAGCTTTTGTCCATCATGTGACGGACATCGTCCAACAGGACACCATGCTTCACGATAATTCATCAACTACGAAAACAAAAAGGTGGCCAGCTATAATCCCGCCTACTTCTTAAAGCCTTTGTCCACTTAATGAGACCAACTTACAAATTCCTCTTTCCTGCCCCTTCAAACGAAATAAAAGGTACTCCAACATCAATCCATCAAGGGATTCTTCGAAAGCCAGTTTATATACATAACTACGAAGAAGCTACGATTATCAAGCTTTTGGAGGCTCATAACAATGCACCAAGACCAAGAAAGCGCTGGTCAGGCAACTTAGCTACATTCGGTTTTCGAAATTATGTTTATCTGATAGAACCATTCCTTAATTTTCTATTATTGATAGTCCGAAAATTCTTAGTAAAACTAAGCAAGTCTTTCTGATGACAATTACGATTGAGTTATTTTTAGAATTCAAGAAAATATTATGAAATTACATTCTTTGGTTAGGAGAAAAAAAACAAATTACGATAATCAATGTGGGACACTCTTAGCTCGGACGACTTCTTAAAGTTTCAAGCAATGATAGATAAATTATGACAGTTTTTCAACTGGTTAGGACAAAACATAATAACACGTTTAAGAATTTGTGTATAACAATTAAGACGAAGAATTATCTGGAGACAGTAAGGGTAAAGGAGCGAAGGCGGGTAGGAGAGAAAGTGGTAAACCCGTTCAAAACATCATTTTACATCACCACTAAGGAATTTCTTTCTAAAGGCTTGAACTTTGCGTTACCAAACAGTAGGGATAATAAGAAAGAAATATTGGTATAAATCATAAGTTTTACCGATCGTCTGTCTGAAGAGGCTAGAGTGATATCGAGTTTAAGATTGCCCCTTGAATTGAGAGCCATGCAGAGGTATCGCCAAGGAATATGAGAGTAAACGGCATTATTAGACACAATGAACAAATAGTGTTAAGAGCGGACAAGAGAGGAGTAATGTTGGTTATAGATAAGGTTAATTATGTAGAAAGGATGCAGGCACTAGATGATATTGTAACGTACAGGATTATAAGTAAGGGCCCTACAGAAACCCTGAAGTTTGAACTCATGTTTTGCCTGCAAAAATGTGCAACAAAGAAGAAATTAGAGAAGTGGAAAATGAAAGCACTTCTTTAGCGAGATGCCAAGCATCTGAATACACGAGGTACACAAGAACTAACACTAGAAATTATTGTCAAAAGGGTAGTGATGCATAAAACATCACGATATGTATAGCAATAAATAAAGCAAATCTCCGAGGCATAGCAGCTTTCACTAAGGATTTTTTATGAATAAGCAGAGGATAGGTGGAGATTCGCTCGTGGAGTCAATGTAAGCCGAGCTACACAGGCTCTAGAATTAACAAAGAATAAATGCCGGGATACCTTGAGAAGTACAAATTTATGTAAGGAGTCAATAATGATGCTGACGAATTTAGTAATGAGCCGCATCTACTTTACTTCCAATGGTAAATTGTACAAACAAACACGAAACTTACTATGGAATCGATTTGTCCCCAATTTCGACAAATAATTACATGACTAAATTAGAAAGAGTCGACAGCAATTTCGGCTTCGCCTAGGTATCATCAGCGACCGTAGCTGGACCCTAGACATGAAGTGCAGTGTATAATCTGGACACGCGGACCAGTACACCACACTGCCACAAGCGACCGAGTCCCACTGAAGGTATTGATGAGACCTAGGCGAGGTCAAAGTTGCAGTCCATTGGATGATAATACCGTTTGGGAAGCAAGGCTATGTGAAATTCAATGGAAACGTAATATCTAATCATAATATTGCGGGAAAGCTCAACTACCAGTCTTTCATCACCTCAAAGAAATAGGATGAATATATGACGTATTGGCAGTCTGGAAAATCTACTTACCTAAAAAAGCACAGGATATCCAACCAAATCATGAGATGCTTCATTAAGTGGGCAAGGTTAGACTATAAGTAGGTGGGATTGCAGCAGGCCACATTTCTTGCCTTATGGCTTGGTAAATTATCGTAAAGCATGGTATCCTGTCCTGACAATGTCCGTCACATGAAGGACGAAAGCTCATGAAGGACTAATCGAGGTCGCAGGACGGAGAGCCAATGAATTATTCGCACAAATCTAGTCACAGATTCAAAGCAACTTCCCTTCGACTTACGGTGAGACCAATTTACGAATCCCCTTCACTCGGCTCTTTAAACGAAGTGAAAATTACTATAATATCAATTAGGGATTCTTCGAAATCATGAATAAACATTTTCCCGGTAAATGGTGATACTTTTAACCAAATAGCTCAGCAATCCAGGAAAGTAATATAGCTCACGTTTTTGAATGTCTTCTGCTTTTAGGCCCGCTGAGGCAGCCAAAATCTCTTCAGTAACTGCAGCTTGTGAGTTGTCTGTTTGGGAGGACGAGTCAGCATTTATTAGTCGGTCCAGCGCCTCACCATCATTGAACTCGGCCGGTTGGAATTGTATACTATTGAGTAAGATCAAGCAAGCGAGCAGGCGACGCAGCTGAGGCACCAGATTGCCCAAACCGAGTTCGGCCAATCCTGTCAGAAACCGATCCCAATTATGTCTATCCCAAGACAATGTTTTCGAATTCCCAGAGCCAGCGTAATCTAAAGGCAACTGAGTATTAGTATAAATACGAAGATGATCTGCAAGTCCCAGAGTTTGAGCATCTTCCGGACTCAGGGATGAAAGAAGCTGTTAAAGAACGAGTGAAAATTATATATAAATTAAATGTGCTAGTATGAATCACGATCGAAATGTTGGGAGCAAAGACTAATTGATAATAAGCTAAACGAGGCAAATTCAGAAAAAATTGATTTGTATGTACAAATTTACATGTAGCTTTAGGAAGCAAATACTCTATACTGCTTTATTCAAAAAGTTAAGCATTCTCGAACGAATTGTGCGTAAATGCGTAAGTAAATAACACTTAGTGCAAACACTATAAAGGATAGATCAAATAATATCTCACTGTAGATTGGTATGCATAATAATTCTTATAGGAAGTTTTTTTAGATTAAAACAAAGACGATTAGTTTTAATTGGTAAAATGGTAGTACTGGTTTCTATCAAGGAAAGGTTAGAAAATCCCAAGACCATTCAATATAATTAAAATTATAATACTCATATAGAATAAATTTTGATAATTCTAAAGCTTAAATGAAAACTGTATTTACGCTAGGTGAAGGACTGATAATTGAGGACTGCTCATAATGATGTGAATAGGTACGAGGATTCTATTGAATTTCACATAAAATTGCCCCCCAAAAGGTATTCCTGTTCAAAGTGGACCACAGTCCCGACCCGGCCTGGATCTCGCCCGCACCCCCAGCGCGAATTGAACCAGTGCTGTAGCGTTTATTTTCGACTTGGTCTTGTGGTCAGGGGGACTGCAGAACGCACCTAGTT